TGAGTCTCAAATATGGCTTACTAACTTGACCATGGAAAGCCTTTGGCTAGCATTGCACTGATGCTTAGGTTACTTATGGTTGTTTGTTGTTTCACGGGTAAACGAGTTTGTGCATCTTCACCCTTCATGGCGTATGATGAAGCTTAGCCCACTCCCCTACCCCCTTAATATAGATAATATTGCGTGTCCAAAAAACACTTGTTTGCTTTCACCAAAAAAAAAAAAAAGAAAAAAACTAATAAATGGGAATGATACATGGTTGTTCATGAATCATATTATTACTAGTTTATTTTAAACAAGCAATCATACCACTATAGTTGGTCATGTATTACAATGGTCTACATTTCTAACTTTCTTTTTGCTTATTATTATTATTATTATTATTATTATTTTGGTTGAGGTAAAATTCAATAAAAAAGTACAGGAGATGCGAAAAAACTAAAAGAAGGATATGGCACAGGCGCCCAGACTCCATTTTAATATCATTAAATATATTTTTTGGATATAATTAATTAATATTTGAAATTATTAAAAAAAAAAAAATAGAATGAAAAAAAAACATAATACAAAGGAAAATATCAAACTATCCACACACCCAATTAGGAATGGGCAACGGTTATGGCGGGCGGGTAACCGTTATTATTTACCCATAACTGTTTAGGCTTTTACCCGCATAACCATTTACCCGTTGGGTATTTACATAAACGGGTATACCCATACCCATAATCGTTTATAAACGATTAACCATACACATAACCGCATACCCATTTAACCATAATCGCGTACCCGTTTACCCATTTTTAACTCGTTTACTCTTTTTTTTCACCCGTTTACCTTTTTTTTTTAACAACTTGAAAATTAAAAAGAAATTTGTCATAATTTTCTTTTTCTAACAACTAAATACCGTTATAAATACATTTAACATGAATTTTTGTATTAACAACAATATTATTTATGAATATTTGCGATGTTTTCTAATTATTTGACGGTCAATCTATTACAAGAATCATGCATGGTTGTAGGTTAATTAATATTCTTGTATACATACATACATACATATATATATATATATATACATGCATATATATATATATATATATATATATATATATGCATGTATGTAAGTACGCATCAGTCTGCTAATAAGCTAATTTGATAAATATTTGGATTTTTATTTAGAAACATATGTTCATCAATCCAAGCCATTTAATTGATTTCTAATTTTTGGGTCAAATACTTATTGAAAACTCGAGGCCAATTAAATATATATACATATATATATATACACGCATCAACCGACAATAACATGTTTCTAAAAGCTCAAGGTAATCATTATCTTGAATTGGCCAAAGCTCCAAAAGACTCCAAAACAAAATTGTCGAACACTCTAATGCTTTAACACATTCAATCACATATATTAAACATTAGCCCGTTCTATAAACTATATTTTTCTCTCAAGTAAGGCATATATATATATATTATGGCCCTTTATAACCTAGGGGTGGGTTCAAAAAACCGAAAACCGAACCGAACCGAAACCGAAAAAACCGAACCGAACGAAAAACCGAACCAAATTGAAAAAACCAAACCGAACCGAACTCTTTTGGTTCGGTCCGGTTTTGGTGGTCTAGAAACCGAACCAAACCAAACCGAACCGAATCGAAATAATTAAATTAATATTTTTTTTAATTTTATTTATTTAATTATTTGATTTTATTATATTAGAATATGATACTTCGGACTGCTGCTTTGGTAGGACTTGTTTGCTTTCCAATTCAAATTATCTTCTCAACTTCTCAATCTACAACAAAAATTAGAACTTATACCATTACATGCAATATTTCTAGTTTATATCATTGTTGACCCTAGAAACTACCAAGCCTACGTGGCGCGCAGGCCGAGTAATCTATAAGCTAACTACGTCCTTCGGTGAATGCGGGGCGTGCCAACTCGTCGGCCGAGCTCGGCCGAGAAGTAAATTTTGTTAATGTTGCGTTGGGTGCGCGGCTGACTTCTGCGTCTTGCGATTGCGGCCGAGAAAGGAACACGTCTCGGTCTCTTAGGTTCTCGAACCTGAAGACAAGGTTACTATTCTTACGAAGTTCAATATCAAATTCGGCTCTCAATGTGCCGAATGTAATAACTGTAACACCTCACTTTGCCGAGAAGGCTGATGAGATGACCTCGACCAATAAGGATTCGAAAATCCTTCTCGACCGAGACTTGGATAGGTAATCAACCGTCCTCGCCGTAGTGCTGTTGATGCCAACGGAAGATGCTGCGAGACCAGCTGATTCTACGGTGACAGAGCTATCTATGCCGACTTAAGATATCACCGGTTGCTTTCACAGTGCTGTTGATGCCAACGGAAGATGTGTCAGCGAAAAAGAAAGAAAAAATCTCAAGTTGTTGAGAGTTTACGTAGGGCAGTTTTGTATTGATTTGCAGGGGTCTTGAATGATGCGCAGTCTCTTCTATTTATAGCAACGGCCCCCCCAAGGTCGAGTTAAAAACCTACTCGGACTAGGTCTTCTTCTCCTGATCAGTACCAACTCGACCAGTCCTACTTTCACTAGGATTGTGAACCTAGTCCTTAACCGAGCCGGATTCGCTTCCGGGTCTTGCCGAGACTCCTCATTGCATTAGGACTTGACTTCTTGCGTTATGACCTAGCCGACCTAGGTTTGGAGGCCCACGTACTAAACGATCCATGGTATTCTTGTCGCAAGGCCTTCCAGGCCGAGAATGATTCTATACTCGGCCTAAACTATTATTTTGGGCCCAAACAATCATTAAGTGCAACACATATATAAGAACACATATCTCAACTGTACTGCAGTTGATTAGGGAAAGCAAACAACGTATAAAAGTCTCATGAGTTTATTAAACACTACGAGATCAAAAACAAAATTCAAACTTTCTCACCTATGGCCAAGTATAGTAGCTTCCGTGGCCTAACAATTTTGAAAAGTATATCAATATATTCAAAAATATTGATGAACACCTCTTCAAAATTTGCTGGTGGTAGAAACTGAACACAGAATGTAGAAATTATATTATGTAACAACATATATGGATAAAAAAATTTCGGACCATAAAGATAAAGAAAATATCAAAAATGGTTACCTAGACAATAATCAAAATAAATAGTATATTATAGAATGTTTATCTTATTGCTAGTGAAGAATACATGTGTGTGTATATATATATATATATATATATAGAGAGAGAGAGAGAGAGAGAGAGAGAGAGAGAGAGAGAGAGAGAGAGAGAGAGAGAGAGAGAGAGAGAGAGAGAGAGAGAGAGATTGAGAGAAAGAGAGGAATGAATAAGGTTGTACTCCATCATCATCGTCTAAAAAGAAATATATTTACAGTTAAACTTTAAACCCAAAATATTTAAAAAAAAACCTTTATGTTAATTCTAGTTGAACTTTAAATATTTATTTTCATTATCTTTAAGTCTAGTCGGAATATTTATGTTATGATTGTGTTGGATATGTTAAAATTTAAGATTTCAAATTTTTTCATTTTTTGAAAAAAAACCAAAACCAAACCGGAAAAAACCGAACCGAAAAAAACAGAAAAAAAATTGAATCGAACCGAACCGAACCGAAATTTCGGTTCGGTTTCGGTTTTGGCAAAAAATCGAACCGATTTGAACCGAACCCACCCCTATTATAACCAAATATGTTTCGGGATACTAAACTTAGCTATAAACATTTTTTTTTTAATAATTTTACATATATTAAAATACATGGTTAAATGGGTACCCGTTTATAACTGCGGGTAATACCCATAACCGCCCATTTAAATTTCACGGGTAAACGGTTATACTCATAACCGTTGATTTATCTAAATGGTTACCCATAACCGTAACCGTCAAATTTAAATGGAGGGATAACCACGGTTACCCATAACCAATGGGTATTTGCCCATACCCAACCTCCTTCTTCCCTGGACGAAATATATCAAGGGTGCTGCTGATGTGGAAGCCAAACTTGTGGCCAGGGAAGGCTGAAATGTCTATGTGAGTCTTCCCAACCCTGAAAGGGTGAATAACTGTGACTTGCTACTAATTATCCTCATTTTTAAAAAGAAAAAACAATATATGAAGGGTGGTTTTATACGCACCTCACAAACTACTGATTTTTCACTCTTAAACTTCAAATGTTGCACCTAGTTAAACTATCAACCTTAGATTTAAATTCGCTGGAAAACTAATATGGCTCTTCCCCTTGTCTCAATTTCGTCCAATGCCTGAGGTTGCCCTTCATCTTCATCTTGAGTCTTGACCCAATGAGCCAGCACCATGAAGAAGAAAGAGGTAGAAGAAGATTCGGCAACATAAGAATATTGAACATATTTAATGATGGTGCTAATGAAAAAACATGAAAAAGAAAAATGAGAATTGAGTTTCAAGAGATAAAGTGGCACAACTTAAAGGGGACAGATTCATGTCATCACTTTTTTTACACAACTTTTAATACAAACTTTTGTAGAGTTGACTCTGCAATGTATTTTAATCCGAACCGTATATTTTTTAGAACATTATTCATAGATCATCCTTACAAAAAGTTAGACAAATCCAAAATCATTAAAATATTTATTTACAGTGAAGAAAATAGGCAAATACGGTTCTACAAATAAACTTAATCCTTAATCCCACCATTGTTTTTGGTACACATGATCTATAAATATATTCTGAAAGATAAACAGTTAAGATCGATAAAATATATTACAATATCAACCTCGCAAAAACTTGTAATATGACGCATCCGCTCCTAATTTAAGAATCATAAAAGAAAATGAGGTTAAAATGGAATGTCAGGAAGCGGAGAAAAAAGCAAGCCTTTTTCTGTTCTATTTTCACTCCGCCTGACTTGACTTAATACCAACACGACACATGCTTCTCTATCATTGGTGCTCCCTTAGAGACGCCACCGCAAGCAATCGCCAAATTTGTCATGTAAATTGGTGATTGGATAATGCCACGTCATAATACAGGTATTTTGGATCACCGTCGATGCGAACCCCACCGGAATATTCCCCTCTCACTGCCCGTTACCAAGCACACCTCACCCTTTCCCGAAAACTATAAATACTTCTCTTTCTTCGCTTTCCCGTCCTTGCCCTAGAAACCCCATTTCGCCGCAACATGCTTTTCCCAGCAAAATCCCCAATTTTCTCACTCTTTCCCTCACTGTCTCGCACCAAATCCGCGATTTCCCGCATATTTTCCTGAGAAAATTCGCCCAAATGGTCATCGCTAGCTCGCCTTTAGCTGTTGCCGCCCCGTTATGGATCGAAAGGCGGTGTTCGCCGGCTACTGCTGTGAATTTATCGGCTGAGTATAATAAATTTATCGGTTGAGTGTTGTGTATTTATTGTGTTTTGGTGATGGAAGCGGTGGACTTGAGTTTTCCGGTGGATGTTGCCGCGGTGCCAAAGTTTCTGGGGGTGGAGTCGCTTGTGAGAGCTGGGGTTACAGTCAAGGAGATTGAGCCTTGTGATTCGGACCGCCTTTCCGTTCGTGTTAGCGCGTACGCTGAGGCTTGCAGCTCGTCCTTGAGGGATAAAGGTGGTTTCTTGGCCTTTTTTTAGTGTTATTTGTCATTTGAATTGGGGTTTCTGTTTTTCTCCATGCTTAGATTTGTATTTTCATAAATTTTGAGGTTTTCTATGACTCTTAGTTTATGGTACTCGAAAGGAATTGATTTTCCTCATTTATTAAATACTTTTTGATGTAGTTTTACCTTTATCCTAGTTTCTTACCAGGATTTCTTCATTTGGTTGTGTATGTGGATACCTTCTTAATTTTCTAGTGTATGATATACTTGGTTGAAGTGCCTTGTTATGTTTCTGAAAAGATTCATACTTTTATGTACTGGGGAATTCGGTTATGTTCTCAGAGGTAACGAATGCGGTTAGTACTTCAGAGTATGAATCAACTAAGCTCGGTGATCTGATGAGCCAGCGCAAGAATCAGGGTGAAGAATCGTCCAGGCACCTACATGGCAGGGGCAAAAATTTTTTGTTGGATACTGGTGCTGAAAGCGTACAGTTAGAAAAACCAGGAAAGGTGTCAAAATTGGTTAGTTTGTCATCTAAGAGACCACGAGTTGATCGATTGGAAGATCCAACTAGCTTTGCTGCTGAAGTTGATGGGATAAAGGATATGTCATTGAAGCTTGGACCGTTACTTACAAAGTGTGGTTCTTCAGGTAAGATATGCTTGTTCTGGAACTTAGACTTAGTTTTGAACGTAAATGCTTGTTTATTATCATCAGGATTCCAAATTCAACAAATTGACCCGGGAAAGTCTTTTAAAGATGGTAGATGCCATCCGTGGTCTCTTCACATGTGAAATTTTAATTGGTCTGTATTTATTAGTCAGTTAAACATTTGATTGGTAATTTTTTTGTGTATTTTTCTCTGGAGTTGTTTAATGTAGCTAATGTAAAATTTTCTTCGCTGGAAAGTCCACTTCGTTGACACAGTTCTTGATGTTGGGGAAAATTAAGATTTCCCAAACAGCTCTTACTGCTGTTGGCCACATCAACGTGCATCTAGCTATTGCCAGTCTGTTGCTTAACATCAGAGTATTATGGATTAGTTGCAGTTGATTGGAGTTAGATATTTTTCTTACTGAAGCATATGTAACGGAGAATCTGGAATAAAAACATTGCATGAGGATAAATATTCCAATACTAAAAACAGTGTCCACGTATGGAAACTCAAAATACTTAGTCAACCATATATATGTTAAAACCAAACCCTTTGTCATTTTCCCATGCAAGCTTGCAGGCGTGTGATAATTTAATAACTAATTATATATAATCTCTATGGGCGTATAAGCAATTTTTTTCCTATTTAAAATTATTGTTAAACATTAGTGGTTATAGCACATGGATCATTTTGACGTTTGTTCAATAGCTGAACTGGAACATTTTTTATTTTATGGACCTCTCCGCAATGGACTTTAATAGGTAATCAAAGGGTTTCCCTCCGATGACGGAGGCGTCTTTCTGCAAATTCTTTTATTCCTTAAAGCTCAGTTTGATCTACTAGTTCTCATTCTTTGAAAATTGAAAAATTTATGCCCTGCTAGTTTCTTTAGGCCTCGGTTGGTCACTAGCAGTGGATAACCCACTATATTCATGGTATGTTGAAGGAACAAATGAGATAAGTGTCTTTACTGTCATATCTCCTTCTAATCCAAAAATCAGTCATCTATTCCTCTAATCCTTTAGACCCAAATGAGGCCTTCATGTGCTAGTTTCTACGTGTCCATCGTATCAGGCAGGATTTTCTTCTTTTATAGCATTAGCAAGTTGAACTGTTAATTTTATTTGGTGGTTGGAAATTGGAAATATTAACCTGCAAGTGCTGTCTCCAAAATGTATGCTTTGAATTTCTAAGGCCATAACACAATACATAACCCCACTGTCTGTCCCTTTAAATTTGTTGGATTTTGCTTTTCATGGATTTTAAGAGTTTGTGGTGAGAACTTTTCTGTGCCTTTCTGTGTTATACATTCCAGATAAGACTCAATTGGTGAAACCAAAGAATAACTTTACAAGCAAGCGAGGTGAAAAGAGAAATATCAAACTTCCTGCAAAGACTAAACAAGATTCCTTCTCTATAAAGCCGGGTTTGGCAAGCTTCAGTTCAGCTGCTGGTGGAAACAACTTTTATGGTATGACATACTAAAGCCAAATTCCTTTGATGTATCATTGACCTCCTTAAAGGAGGATATTCGTTCCGTTATTACCAGACTTTCAATGTGCATACTGTGCAAAAATTAAATTGTAATTTAAATGAATGTCAGGAGTACATGGCCTTAAGTCAGATAATCATGATGTTACAAAGCTGGTAGATGATGTGCCACTAAATGAGCTCCTTGATGGGACATACAAGTGTCCAAGTTTAAGCAGGGGAAAAGGGAAGAAACCAGCGAATGTAAACGATAGTTTTCTGCATGCAGTTAAAAAGGCTTGTTCTACCCTTCAGCAGCCGAGGTCTGTCCAGCCCCAACTTACTGCTGAGGTAGAAAGCAATTCTGACAGGGTAATGTCACCATGGCCGTTAAGCACGACTTCTGTTGTAGCTTCTGGTGTCGATGGTGATAAAGGAGAACCATTCATCACAGATTTGTCTTCATGTAATGAGGTCAGTGTTCAGTGGTAATATAAGATATATTAGCCCTGGAGAAAACTTTCAGTTTTTCATTTGACCTGTTTGATTAAACTATAAGTTTGAGGCTTACATGGCAAATCATGCAAAAGGTATTCTTCAGAGTAATAATCGAGCATAGGCATGCTGCTGGACCTAACTAAAGCTTGGATTCCTTGTGTGAACATTTGCATATTTTAGTTATTAGTCTTAGGCTCCAATGACAAGGATTTTAGTTTTGTTGTCCAACTACTGGTGTCTTATTCATATTTTTAATGATGAAATTACTAATGATTGATGATGTATGTTTCTCTTTTGTCGTATATGTACAGGATTCTCATAGAAAGCCCGTAGCTCCTGTTAATCCCCTTGATTTGCCATTGTGTGAACCTAAGTATGTTATGGAACGCTTGGCCCTTCCTCCACACAAGGATTTGGAATCTTTGCTTTTGGATGCTGCAAAACCTGCTTCATCTTCCAAAAATACTCCCGATCCATGTTCAGGCAAGCAAATATCTCGCCGAGCAAGCTTGCCTTCTTTTCCATGGTCACATACTTCTTATGGACACTGTAGATCCAGTTCTGATGCAGCCAAACAGTCCATAAGCAGGGGCACATGCCAAGGTCGATGGCTAAGAATAGACAAAAATATTCTTAGTTCATTGGGGAATGCCACTGATAATTTGACAGACTTGGAGTCACTAACCTATGATCAGAGTCTAGTTCCTTCCGCAAGACTAAAAGTTTCTAGTTCCCAAAATAAAGTTTCCCCATCCATATCTGTTAGTCTTTCTCGATGTCAGCGAGATTCATTATCTAATATGACACCTTCGAATGATTCCTACATTCCACAAGGTAATTCATATATTTCTTGTTTCTTTCGGAATGCCATTGTGAGTTTGATTTACATACTAAAACTTGAATATGTTACATTTGTTGCTGGAAATATATACTATTCCTGTCTGTCCCGCTACTTGGGACATTGCCTTTTATAATTTTGATTTTTTGGAAATGCAGAATCTGAAGGCAAGCTGAATCATTCAGGAGATTGTAATGGTACGGTTTCTACCTGTTATGAGCCTCTCTTTATGCTTTTGTTTGTACGTGTAATGCATGTGTTTGTGTTTGGGGCTTGGGGCTTGGGGAGTGGTGGGTGATGTATAAAGAAGGTATTGAGGAAGATGACAAAGAATGCTGATTCCATATTGGCACTAAAACTTATTTCCAAGAGGCCTACTTTGTTATACCAAGTCACTGGATTAAACTAAATAGCATCTTGTCCTTATTACATGATCTAGCTGTAGCCAAGATTAGCTCTTTGACGGGTAGTTTCCCAATTGATCGGATCATGGGATGCACCAAAGAATGCATGATATCTGCTTTAGATGGAAAAGTAAATAGTTTTGATAGGTTATAGCCTTGTTAGGAAATAGGAAATGAATGTCGCTCATCAGTTGCACAATAATTTATTTTCTTGTTCTTGGCTTAAAAAAGATTTTAGCCGTTACCCTGGATGCACTTGATTTCTATTTTCTACCTCTGCAGCTGTGCTTTTGTGCGTTTCTTAATGAGATTTTTTTGCTTGTCCAGATGAGAATTGTCCAAAAGTATTAAGTGCTGCTCAAACACTCTGTGACATGGCAACTCGTACCTCTAGGAAAAATCCAGATGGAATCATAAGATGGCCAAAGAAGCCTTCACAAAAAGCCATGAAAGCTCGGAAAGTGAAATCAATTGAGAAATCTGAAGAAGCATATGGGACATCAGTTGCGGTATCTGGGTCCGACAATCCCAGGAGAAGCGTGGATCAGATGCTGCCCCCAAAGAAGCCCAAGCTCTCTTTGATTGATGATAATAGGGATTTCACTAATTTTAGTTCTGTAAGGAAAGGAACAATAACTTGGTCTACGCCTAGATCAAGTAGGTCATCGCCTAGCAGGTCTGTTAAGGAGTCAGTTGTGGATATTAAACATTCAACTGCAGATGTCGTGAAGCATTCTTATCTGATGCCACCACCAGCTCGGGTTCTGGAAAAGACTTCAAACAAACGAGAGAAGCAAGGGAAGTTGTTGACAACGGAATGGAACAAAGGAAGGGATCGGCTAGATTGATGAATACCATCTCAATCGTGTTAAAGATTTATTCCTACTGACAAGGTTCGTCATTTTATCTGACATCTCTGGGGTCTATTGGAAATAATTGATTTGTACATAGGGTTTAGTTTTAGGAGGAAGGATGAATAGGAATTTTATGTTATAACAAAGGGATAAACTACAGCAGCGATGGAATTTATCACATTGGTAGATAATTCGATGTCTCTCACCTTCTGCTCCGACTCTCTTGTACATGTGCATATCAGCATGTCAAAACTCCGTCCACAAGGTTTTAATTCGTTGATAGATGTTGTGAGAATTAAAAGTCCTTTTGGTCAGAGGACCCCGTGAAACTAGAATCTTTCATGGTAGCATTTTTAGTTCCTTATCTGATGTGCAAAATTTCTCCAACAATGAATCAGTTGCTGTTCTAAAAGAATAGCAAGACTGAAAAACATAATGCCCAACACAAAAATTGTATTTCTCAACCTACATTTGCATTTTGATTTAAAATTTATATTTTATCCTTGACAAAGTTGTTTGCCTATGATCAAGGATGACATTAAAAAGAAAAAAAGACATTTTTGTTGCAGTCATATTTGGAATAGGAATGTGATTGTGTAAATCCTAGTGTATCTAGGGATATCTTTTATATTCCCCTAAGTAGTCTAATTCCTATTAAGAGTTGAAATCCTAAAAGGGTAAGGATTTTACCTATCATACTACTATAAATAAAGGCACAATGGGGTGATACAAGACACATCTCATAATTAAATCTCTCTTTTTCTCTCGTTGCCGCTAGCCTCCCTTCTCTCTATTCCCTTAGAATAGCTTAGTTAAAAAGGCCTACAACACGTTATCAGCATGCTCTTGCCAGAAGTTAAGGAACTGACGGATTGTAGGAGGAGGATTTCTCCCACAAAATTCAAAGACTTTTATTTGTTTTCCGCTAATCAGGTACGCTTAAAATAAAGGAAGATATTTGAAATGATCATGAAGTATGAAAACATTTCCCATGATGCATGAGCCCCCAATGTTCATATTTTCCTTCTGATATATATATATATTCTATATGTTTCACATATTTGTCAATATATATATATATATATATATATGTTTCATGCATTACGCAATTATATTGCTATGTGGAATTTGTGAGTCAAAGCATATAAATAAATTAGAAGCATGTTAGGGTTTTTCAAATACTAGAGAAATCGAAAAAAATATTTGGGAAATCATGCAGCACAATGGCCGCACCATCGCCGTGGCACCGTTGCTGTCCTCCGCGCTGGCCTACAGCCTAGCTGCGTCAAGCACGCCACCAGGATGACGTCGTTCCAACGTCAAGACCATGGCAGCAGCCTTCTGGGCTTTGTTGCGCCTACATAGACACACCAGGCATTCGGCCTAGTTGACTTACACTGGCCCGAATCTTATCTCATCTTCACAGAAAGCCTGCAACCTTTCTTGGACCTGTCCATGTATTCCCGACCCAACCTGCCAGCAGCCTTGGGCTATTAGGCTTTGTCTTGAGCCCTAGGCCCGCCTATAATAAGCCCATGTCGCTTGCTAGGCTTTGACCTCGTCTAGGCCTACTTTCCAGCAGCCCTTATGTTGCTGGGCTTGGCTTGCCCCAACCCGAACCCAGCTTTGGCTAGTGTTTCTGGACTAACCCACGGTTAGCTTTTTGCTGGGCTGCACCTATACCCAACTTGGCCCAATGCCAGCAGCTATTGCTGCTGGGCTTACGCAGATTGCTCAGCCTAAGGCCTGTAGCCCTCAATAAGCCTGCAACCGTACCTGCAGGGCCCACCCCGTGTCTTTTTTTTTCGACCTAATGTCAATTTTTGGCATCCCCACGTTATAAATCTTGTCTAAAATATTTTTGGGGCGCTTTGGTTTACGCTAAAGATGACCCACACCCCTTTGGCTTGCTCTGGCCGACCATTTTGATCACCAGAAAGACATCTACTTGCCTGAAACAAGACACGACTAGCAGCATCTTCGCTTCCAAGACTTTAAGTCCGCGAATGAATAAACTCTGAAGTTTGTAGAATCCGATCACTACTGAAGTTCTGTAAGGTGGAATTAATCGAATCAGATCTCCTGGAGAAGACATATTCAACCTTCCATGCCACCAATATTGCCCTGCAGCAACAATATAAGGCATATAAGTTCACCAAATTTTCGGATTTGATCTCTATTTTACTTCTTGCTGAAAAGCAGAACCAGCTTTTGATGAAAAATCATCAAGCTCGATCGACTGGCTCAAACGCTGCGCCTGAAGAGCATGCGGCAAATTCTAGCAGCCACAAACAATGCAAAAACCGTCGTGACCATGGCAATGGGCGGAAAATTCAACCATGGGCCCAAGGTCAACAGAGTCAGGGCCCACCAAAGGGAGGAAATGTGATCTAGAAGCGCCAACCCCTTGCTCTTGAGGCCCCAAACTACAAGAACAAGGGAAAAGTTACTGTTCAATCGTCTTCCACTAAAATGGACATGTGTTACTGCTGTGGATCAAGGGATCATTGATCACACGTATGCCGAGCTACCTCCGAGGCCATTGCCAAGTATCATTCCTGTTATGAGTCTAACTTTGCACATGTGGATCATCCCGAAGATGCTTGTGAAATCTCGTTCCTGAATTTCACTGTTATATTATAAGTATTGGTATTATTGAGATTTTATATATTTTCGGGAAATTAATTATTTAAAATCCGTAGACCATTTGAGGTCACAAATTATATTGTTGAATAGATATGGAGATCACGAGCGCATAGGCGAAAACTGTTTGAGAGTCCGGATTATAACGGTATAATTACAGACGTTTGAAGTTGTGTTGCTAAAAAAAAAAATAAATAATGAAAGGAGAAGAAAAAGCCACGGTAGTGGCTAAAAGAAAAGAAGAGAAAAAGCCACGGGGGTGGCGTGAGAGAAAAAAAAAGGGGGGGAAGAAGGAAAAAAAAAAGAAGGAAGAAAGGGAGAAACGGGTCCGTACGACTCGTGTGTATTGCCGGCCACCCATCTTCATTTTCCGACGGTTTTCCGACGAATTTCTTTAAACAACTACTTGGAAACACTCCCTTGACCTTCCCTCTACATGTTTCACCCAAAAAATAAAAGGTTTTGGACTTGAATTAGGGAGAAACTGCACTAAGGGTGCGGCGGGTGTGTACCGCACTAAGGGTGCGGCGGGTGTGTATGTTCAAATCTCCCAAATCCAAAATGTTTACACCCAATGACCACCACCAAAAGACTTCCCTTGAGCCCCTGAATAGAGCCCAAGCATTGTTGGAGGCGTCGGAGTTCGATTGGAAGCCGAATCAAAGCACACTTTTTTCTAGGGTTTCAGCGGGTTTGAATGAAATTGAGGTGTTTCCTGGCCAAATTGGACTTGGCCACAGGTATAAAGTTTGCTCTACTCTTTGAGGTCTTCATTTTTGTAATTTTTGGTAATTTTTAAAAATAGTTGAAAATTTCCGGCAAGTCGGGGCGGCCGACCGACACGTGCGGTGGCGGCCTGGCCAGTGGGCTGATGATGTCCTTTTAAGTTCAAATAGATGCCTTGATTTGATATCCGTATGGCGTAATTTGATTGTTTGGACTTAGTTTCGTTACAATACCTTACTTGGTCAAAATGTGAATCGACGATCCGACCGTTGGATCGTCACCAAACTTTAATGCGTTATAGAACATAACATTTGAGGATAACTGGAATTAATGGATCTGGAATCCGACGTACGGATCTTTCGGAATTAGATTTCTAAGTTTGTAAAATTAATTATTAATCGTTACCTAATTCTAGCAATTGGTGGAGATTCGACCGTTGGATCGTGATGAGATTTTAGTATGTTCTTTGAGCATAATGTGGACTTTAGAAAGCTACAGATCCGAAATCCAATGTGCGGATCTTATGGATCGAGTTATGTAGAATTGTGAACCCTACCTTTGATCGAGAGTTGACTTTTGGTCAACATGTCTCGAAATGTTCTAAATACAAAAATTGGTACTACGGGAGACGCAGTGAAGTCGAGTGGGCCTACATTGGTTAGAGAGTGACTTGAAAATATGGGCTATGGTGATTACCTTAAATTCTTATATTAATATCAATTGTGATTACGACTTGGTTTTATAAATGTGATTTCTATGGAAATGTGATTTATATATATTTAGTCATAGACCTACATTTATTAAATATGATTTGGTTTGTGTACTGATGAGGATTGTAATATATGTGTGTTAATTATCTTTTAGTAATGGGAATGATAAGTATGATAAATGTTATGACCATGTGATCTTAGAATCCTATTAGAAGTATTTTGTGGAACTTATATGCTGGTGGAACATATTAGTTGGTGGCCACGAGAAGTGAATGTGGTAGGTGACTACGTTGTAATTATGGAGATGATGAGGTTTAGATATACCTGGTACATTTGGTAGGTGCCATATGCTTGCTTGGATTCCGTTGAGTGATGATCCGGAATCCCTTCCATTATGTGATTCCGTTGCGTGATGGTCCGGAATCCCTTCTATTATGTGATTCCGTTGAGTGATGGTTCGGAATCATATGCTTGTTTGGATTCCGTTGAGAGATGGTCCGGAATTCCTCCTATTTCGTGATTCCGTTGAGTGATGGTCCGGGATCGTACTCACCTTGGGATTCATTGAATTTGAATTGAGATAGCTTCAGAGATGTAGGCTTCGGCCGAACTATGTCACTCTAACCCTACTTTTCATTGTGTTGTATGAGATTATGATTGTGAGCGGTGGTGATTTGTTCAGATGAACTGTTGGATGCCTGGGTGACTCATTCGAAGTTTACAAATGTTTGGTATTGAATTCTTATGAAAGATTTATATTCAAGAGATGTAAACTGTGATTGACGGTTGGCTTTATCATTATTATCACATACTTGCATTGTTGTAACTCACCCGAGCTTCGCAGCTTATCTGAGTTCTTGATACCGATGCACGATTCCCATGGTGTAGGCAGTGATTGTATAGATGTCAAGTATGAAGAGATTACAAGAGATCGCTTGGTATTTTGGTTGGATTCTGTTAAATGGTCTAGAATCCCTACTCTTACTTATTTCCATAAAGGTAGTCCGACCTTAGAGTCGAATGAATATGAATTGTTCACAGTAAACATTGTGCATAAATTAGACTCATCATGTTAGTACTTGGAATCCAGGTGGGGAATTATGAAGGGATCCCTTATTAAAATTTGTGAATTGATATGGGACCTTATTGATTGAATAGCATAGTAATTATAGATATCATGCATCTTTGATTTTCAGAATTGATTAAGTAGAATGATTGCAGAATGATGTGGGATATGATTGTTATTATTATGATTAGTCTCATTGCTCAAAGTGGCTTGAGAA